ACCAGTGCCCCTGACGAGATTTAATTCTAGATCCGCCCTGTGCCAATCGCATACCTCCCAAAGTTGGAAGGTAAATATGCTTGGGTTATACAAAACCCTTTGTGGACCAACAGTATGTGAATTTACTTGATCATGGCAGTACACTGTTATTAATTTTCCATCTTCATACATGTGAAAAGTATGTTGGATTTTACAGGCCGTGTAACTCTGAATTAGTGCATATTATTCATTAAAGGGTTACTCCAAGCATTATGACCACTCACGTGATTTTTCACTTTGAAACACTTGACATAGCCATGTTTACACAATTTATTGCCAGAGGTGTAACTGTATCCCTGGTAGCACCATTAAAGGGACACTATAGTCACCAGAACAACTACAGTTTGGTGAGTATAATCATTGCCTTCAGGCAATATATGAGAAAAGACAGTGTTAACATTGCCCCTAGGGACACTTTCAAGTGGCCACTCCTCAGATGGCCACTGTAAGTGCATCCTGGGGCAGTGCTGCATAGTAAGCACGCTCTGCATGGGGACGCTGAATTTTCCGCATAGAGATGATGTGATTCAATGCAACTCTACGAGGAGGTGCTGATTGGCTAAAATGGTGTTTGGGCCCGTCCCCTTGCTGATTTTAGCCAATCCATTGCTTTCCCAATGGGAAAACAGTGAATTGGCTAAAAATCGGCTATTTTGATGATGTCACCAAGGGGGTGGGGCCAGCGCCGGCAGACCCGCGTGACGCTGGAAATAAGGTGAGTTTTATTAACTTTTAAGGTGACTGGGGGGGCAAGCCACCTAAATGGTTGGTTAAACACTATAGGGTCAGGAATACATGTTTGTGTTCATAACCCTATAGTGTTCCTTTAAGGTGTCATCAGATGACACTCTCAGCTTCTTACCGGACCACCAGGGAGTCTCAGAGCCTGGCAGAGATCCTGGTAAAAGGACCAAATTTTGCTAAATGGGGAAATGGGCCAGGGTATTCCTAGCATCATAACCACTACAGTAGTGTAGTGATTATGATGATTGGAGTAATCGTACATTACATTGTGTCCGCATAATCACGAATGGTAGATTCTGCTGTAAATGGTTTTATGTTTATAGTAATCTAGTAGCATAACACTGTTATGGAAGTCTTATGAACATTTGTTTTCTTGTGGGGTGGGAAAAATAAGGTTAAGTAAAATTCATATTTGTATAATATGAGCAATAAAGAACTGAGACTCACAACACTGCCCAAAACAAAGTTCTTTATCCCATAATAATAAAGGCAGTCAATGTTTCTGGCCCATATTACAGAATGGTGGGTGCGTACCTAAGTAGTGAATGCTTTGCAAGTTGTATCTAAATGGGTGGGTCAATTGTATGTGTTCGAGAGTTGGTTGTGGTATCCCTATCGGGAGGGCTTCCGTTTTTTATTCTAGGTTTAGTTTGTATCCCGATAGGGTTGCATATTTTTGTAGAAGTGTCAGTAAGGGTGGGAGGGATTGAGTGGGGTTCGTGATTGTGAGTAGGATCTCGTCCGCATAGGCTGCTATTTTGTATTCTTCGTTCCTGACCTTGATACCTTGGATTTCTTGTTCCCTACGTATGTTTTGGAGGAGGGGTTCGAGGGATAGGGCGAATAGGAGTGGGGAGAGCGGGCAGCCCTGTCTTGTCCCATTTTTAATTGTGAATTCTGGGTGTTTGGCGTTTGGTATGAGGAGTGTGGCCGTTGGTTGGGCATAAAGGGTCTGTAAGGCTTGGAGAATGGGTGGTGGGAATTTGAATTTTTGGAGGGTGGCAAATAAGAATGGCCATAATAGGCGATCAAAGGCCTTTTCTGCATCCATTGATAAAAGAAGGGTTGGGATTTTCCTACTTTGGGCTACCCATATTAGATCTATCATACGTCTCGTGTTGTGTCCTGCTTGTCTCGTGGGTATGAAGTCCACCTGGTCGGGGTGTATTAGTTTTGGGAGGAGGGGTTGTATTCGGTTAGCTAAAGTTTTTGTGATTATCTTTGTGTCCATGTTAAGTAGGGACATGGGTCGGTAGTGGCCTGGGTCTAGATGTGTTTTGTGGGGTTTCGGTATGAGGCAGATGTTTGTTTTGAGCATCTCCTTTGGGAGTGGGTCCCCCTGTAGTAGTGAGTTCCCTAGAGCTGTGAGGTGGGGTATGAGGACATTCGCGTATGTCTTATAGTATAGGCCTGTGAAGCCATCTGGTCCGGGGCATTTGTTTGGTTTGATTGTTTTTAATGTTTTGGCGATTTCTTCTGTCGTGAAGGGGGCTGACAGTGTTGCTATTGCGTTGTGTGTCTGTTAGGGATGTGAGGGGGATGTTTTGGAGGTATAGTTCGATGTCTTGTTTCAGGGTTGGAGAGGGGGCCAGATTGTGGTCATAGAGTGATCTGAAGTAGTAGGAGAATATTGATGCTATGTCATTGGGGTCTTTGTGAGTGTTTCCCCCTGGGGATTTTATTTCAGTAATCCGTTTAGTTTGTGATTTTTGCGGGCTAGGAGGGTGTCTGCCTTATTTTATTTCTCATAAAAGAGTTGTTTACTCCACTGGAGGGCTTTTAGTGAGTCTTTGGTCTTATATGATTTGATGGCTTGTTGGTGGGTTTTTATTTGGGCTGGTAGTGTTGGGGTGGGGTGTTGCTTATGTTGAGCATCAAGGGTCCTAAGGGAGATTAGATGGGCCTCGAGTTCCTTTAGTTTTAGCTTTTTGTGTCTTGTAGCCTCTGCGATTAGCTTGCCTCTTATGACGGCTTTGTGTGCCGCCCAGAGTGCTCCTATAGATGTTACGGAGTCTTTCTTTAACTCGAAGTATTCTTTAACTGCGTCTTGTATGGTTTGTGTTATCTCAGGTTTATGCAGTAAGGTGGGGTTAAGACGCCACGACCACGATCTTGCCGTTTGTGGGATTGATAGTGTGAGGGATATCTCCGCGTAGTCAGACCAGGTGATTGTGCCTATCGATGTTGTGGTGTCGTGGGTGAGGAGTGAGGGGGAGACCAGGAACAGGTCGATCCTTGAATAGGAAAGGTGGGGGTGTGAGTAGAAGGTAAAGTCTGCTAGTGTAGGATTTTGTAGTCTCCATATGTCCTGGAGGCCTGTTTGGAGTATAAAAGTCGAGAGTAGTTTATCATTGGCCGTCGTTTTGGGGATTGTTTTGGTATGTTGTGAGTGGCGTTTTCGGTCCTGTTGGGGTGCTGGGACTACATTGAAGTCCCCTCCGATAATCATGTGGTGGGAGGGGAATAGCTTTAGGTGTGCTCGTAAGGCTGACCAGAAGGGTGGGTCTGGGATAGTGGGGGCGTAGATAGTCGTTAGTGCGTGTGTTCCATGGTGGCCCGCTATTGTTAGGTATCTACCCTGGGGGTCAGCAGTGGTTTGTTTAAAGTTAATGGGGCATGTATTGCGAATTAGTATCGCAACTCCATTTCTTTTTCCGTTTGGGGAGTTTGCTAGGTGGTATTCATTGTAATGTCTGTTTTTGAGCGGGAACGGTCTTGCTGCCTCAAAGTGAGTTTCCTGGAGGAATATTATGTCAGCCCCGGATCTGTTGGCCCATTGCATTAATTGATGGCATTTTGCGGGTTTGTTTAAGCCCTTGCAGTTAAGGGAGATGCATTTTAGTTTTCTCATCTCTGGTGGTCCGTGAGAGTCAGGGTGTGGGTTTGGTAGTGAAGGATTTGGGGTTGGAGTTACCCCTTTTAGGTGTGCGGGTTGCCCTTGGGGTAAGGTTTTGGTGGATAGGGTGGGGGGTGGGTGAGGGGGTGGGGTGGGTGGTTTGTTGGGAGGGTGGGGGTAGTAGAGTGTGGGGGAGTGTGTGGGTGTTTACCCTGGTCTTACTGTGGGCTTGCCAGCTGTGGTTGGGGGTTGTGTGTGGTGCCTTTTAAGATTGAGGTGTGTGGCTTGATTCCTTTGTGGGAAAAGTGTGGTGTATCACTCATGGTGTTTGTCAGTCATGTAGTCGTTGTCTGTGTTTCTCGGTGGGTGGCTCTTGGATTTGCTGTCTGAGGTTCGGTGGTCTGGTGAGTGTTCTTCGTGGGCTGGTGTTGGTGAGTGGTGTGTATCCTGTGAAGTGGATTCATCTGGAAAAACAGTAGAAATCAACATATATACATTTACATAAACATAAACATTTCTGATTCATGTGGTAGCACCCTTGTTTGTGCCCTTCAGGTCTCTTTGGGACTATTCGTTCAGTCAGTTGTACTTGCCAGTTGTATACCTAAGTCTATTTGTGTCATTCTTGCGCCCTTCATGTTCCCTGTTGCCGGTTGCAGGTGTATATTTTTGTATGCCTATTTACCTGCCTTGATTATCTCTCTCCCTCCCCCTTGCAGTGTGTGTTCTCTCCTCTCGTTGCCTTCCCATTTATGATGTGGAATCCTCCATGTCTTTGTCTACCTTCCCTCCTCTCCCTCTTTTTCCTTTTTCTGTTTGTGTGTTTCTATTTGGGATTGTCTAGGTCTTGTTTTCTGATATATAGGTGTTTTTCCGGTTGGGTACCTTTAGTCATGTCAGTGGTGTGGGGGTCCAGGGTGCCCTGCTTTCCGTGTGGCCGTGTACCCCTTTGGATTGTCTCCCCCCCCCCGCTATTGAATGTTGAGGAGTTTGAAGGGGTGTCCCCAGGTATATTTGATGCCTCTTTCTTGCAGGGCTAGTGTGAGGAGTTTCAAGTCTCGCCTCTTTTTTAAGGTAGTAGGGGCTAGATCTTGGAAGAGTGTTATATGAGCGCCGGCATATTGTGGTGGGTGGATTCTGGCTATTTGCATGATTTTCTCTTTTGTTTGGAAGTAATGCAGGCGTATTATTACGTCTCTGGGGGTGGATATGTTCAGAGTAGGGGGGCGCAAGGCCCTATGAGCCCTGTCCATTTCTAGTAGTGGTGATGGTACTTCTGGGGCCATTTTTGCAAAGATGCCTTTTAGGGTTAACATTAGGGATTCTGGTTGTAGGCCCCGGATCCGTATATAATTTTTTCGTGACCTATTATTTAGGTCTTCTAGGGAGTCCTAAATGCGGTTAGGCGGCCATGGAGGTAGGAGATCTCCTGGGATTGTGCTGTGGAGGCTGTCGCCAGGGTGGTTAGACGTACCTCTGTTTGGTCAGTGCGGGTAGTCAATGCTTCCATGTCCGCCCGGAGACCTGTTAGTTGCTTGCTGATTTTTTCGGCCACATGGGTTTTGATGTCTGCTGTGGCCTCGCTCGCTGTGGTGAGAGGGGCCGAGGGTGTTGGTGTGTGGGCGCCCCATTCTGAATCAGATCCCTGGTCCTCCTCGTGGTCGGATTGGGTAGGCCTCTGCGCTTCTCCTGGAGTGCGGAATAACGTTGCTACTGATGGAGGTAGCTCCTTTTTCTTTTTCCCACCTCCCATCGCTGTAGCCGTGTTTCTGTGGTGTGTGAGGGGGCTTTGGAGCAGTGGGTGATGCGGATGGTGGCTGATTGAGTGCTTGGGGGAGAGGGAGCTGCGGGATTACGCGTCCATCTTCCTCCGAGGTTAGGCTCCGCCCCCTCTTGATTGCATTTTTTGATGGAATAAAGATACTTGTTATGAGAATCTGAACTGTAGGCACTATAACCATTTAATCTCATTGAATTGGTTATAGTACCTGGAATCCTCTGGTGCTATCCCTTAATTTAGTGTTGAACCATTTTCAAGTAGTTTAACACTAAATAAGGGTCTACGGCCACCGACTGCCCAGTTCCCATTGGATTTAGGGATAAGACATTACATTCTTCCTTCTAACCATACCAATTCATACCATCAATAAGAATTGGGATGAATTCAAGCAGTCAGCTAACACTCTCAGACAATCACAGCTGCTCATTGTTGCTCAAGCTAATTTTCCCTAATTAGCCCAAACAGCACAGGTGGGATGGGATGCTGAGGATTCTTGGTTAGCTTTAAAAACAGTTAAACACTGAAAGGATGGCCCTGGGGACTCCAGATAACTGTTTTAATGAGCTGAATAAGTTACATAGGCTGATTGACAGACAGAGACCCACATTACAAAAATTAGACAGACAGAGACAAGCAGATATGTGAAATATATTGGATATATTGGATGGATGGATGCTAGGATGGATGGATCAAACCCGCCTATAGGAAGGACAAAGGCATAACTCATTAAAAAAAAAAAGGCAACAACAGACATAGATATATTAGATAGCTAAATAGACAGATAAATAGATTAGTAAGAAAAAGGATTGGTATCCAAATATACTTATCTGAAATGATCAATCAAAACAGCCTCTCAAGGTCGTGGCCCAGTTCCTGACCTTTTACAATATACATATTCTTTGTATTCAAGTGTATATTGTAAAAGATAAATAGATTAGACAGATTAGATTAAGAGATAGCATAATAGATGTGTTAGGAGTAGTAGTCAGATTTCTAGATACATGGGTAAAAAGATGGGATGTACAGATCAGATACACATGATATGATAGATGCTACAATATGATATACAGACTAGTAGATGAGAGAGATAATTCCATTATATAGACACACAGATCATTTCACTGATGATTTCATTGTCTCATGATAATAGAAAGAGAATCTGTTTTATAATAGACTGCCATGATGCTTATTAGTTTATAATAGAAGTTTTAGTAGTCTGTTTTCTTGCTCAAGAGCCGCAAAGGATACAAAAATAAGATGTGTATTGCCGCTATTTCGTTTTGGTTCTGTTGTTTACAATACCAAATAGTGCAAATCAACATCACGGTGTTACATCAAGGCATAGCAAGAGATAATTGCTGATTACATGGTCCTGTGCTGTAAATTCAAGCTCATGCAGGGTTAATTTGTGCTGGCAAGGGAAGCGGCAGTGATGTAGGGACAGGCGTGTGCTGCTCACACACAATCACAGGAAGGACACGGGGATCATGTACCCCCCTTCCTGCAGAAACATCATCAAGTGAGGGAGGTAGAGGGTGGGGGTGACTCAAATTACATTCTACAGACTTAATTTTTAAATCTTGCAGAACATCTCTCCAGTCTCCACCCTACATATACCATAACTTCTGTAAAATGTGGCCTTTCCAGCATTTAACACTGCAACCTGTGCAGCAAAGGCATATTATCTATACTCTATTCTTAGATCTTCCTAGAAATCTTTCTTATTAAAGATGTGCAGAGCATCGCCTCTTCCTTACATGCATGCACAGCAGTTATACTTCCTCTTTATGGACTGCAGAGCATTACATAAACAATACCAAGACATAAGCATAGATTGGGGACTACTGATACTAACTTGTTCACCCATCTGCTCTGCACAGCTTCAAACCTTATACATATTGTTTTGGTGTATATTTTTCACATCCAAAGCATTCTTATAGTGGCAATGTCACGTTGTTTTGTTTTTTTCGTTACCTTATGACCCCTTATCATTAGATAATTATTAGATAATTAGGTAAATTAGTTTAGCACTTTAAATGGAACTTTGCTTAAATGACCACTGTGGGTACCCAGACCACTTCAGCTCAATGAAGTTGTCTGGGTGCCAGATCCCCCTAGTTTTAACCCTGCAGCTGAAAACATAGCATTCATGCGCATTCAGCTCCACTCGGGAACTGATGTCGATGGAGTAGGAGAGGTCACCAGCACAGAGGGATTAAGGTAAGCATATAAATGGTTAATTAACCATATATGAGCCTCGGCACGGGGCCCTAGTTACTGTTTAGGTGACTAGGACTCTATAGCGTTAGGAATACATATTTGTATTCCTAACGCTATAGTGTTCCTTTAAGCTTCGTCCATTGCAGCAAATAAAGTTAATGTTTCCCACAAGAAAACATACTCCCTGCTATTTCCTATGTATAATTTAAAAAAACAAAAAAAGGTAAATTGAAAAAAAAAATACAAAAAAAAAACAAGGATGAAAAGAAGTAAAAAAAACCTAATACTCTAAAAACAAAACATGATACAAAGAAACACTTTAATTCCTTTACCACCTTACAGGATTTATTTACTAAACTGAGGATTGGAGAGGATAGACAAGAGATTGGCAAATTCGTATACCAAAATATCCAAACTAAATAAATTCTCAAACTAAGCTTTGCTACGTTGGCCTCAGTTCCCTTGTTAGTTCTCCATGATGTTCACATGGTTATTTACTGGAAATGATTTGTATAAAAATTTTAATCAAAAAAGCCAAATGCAAAAAATTCTACAGCAGACCTATTTTTCTAATTTTACTTTTCTGGCCTATAACTTGCAATTCCCTTGTATGTATGTATGTAGTGGGCATTGGATGAGATATTCCCCTAAAATCAGCCATGAATTCCCCAAATAACGACAGACACTAAAACTTTGATATAATAGGCCACAGTATTTATTAAAACAACCGAATATGGTATAACGCATCCAAACGTATAAAACTGTACATAGTACAGATCATAAATTAACATATAAATAATGTTGCATAATGTCATACAGTAATGTAACCAAAACGTCCTTGCAAATGTAACACACCCCTTCCCAAAGGCTCTCACCTCCCCCCTCGGCATAATAAATTCCTCTTCCCTTTTTGGGCTCCCCATCAGCCGTCTTTTAACTCGGCGGGGACACGCCCAACCTGGTACCCCTTAGGGTTCCCCATAAGAGACAAGGGAGGATGAGACCCGGCCATTATCCCCTTAGTCATCTACCTGCAAACCATCTCCCACCCTATCTGGCAAGGACATGCCCTCCGCCTCGCTTTGACAACACCCGGGCCTAAATCACCAAGGGAGGGTGGGCGGGAAACTGTTGCTGGCCCAGCTCCTAAGTGGCACTGAGGTCTGCTTTATTTGTCACTACCCACTTCCTCACATACCATACTACCACACATAAACAGCCAATCATGTTTCATCCATCCCACACTCATACATGTGCCCTTGTCTGCTCAGCTGCGCACTCTCCTTGGCGCCTGGTCAGTTCCCAGCAGACTCAATTTAGTGAATAACCCTGTCTGTCAGTTTAGTGAATAAACGCAGTAGCTTCTACTACTTACAATTACACAACTATTTTTCTTTAAAATAAGTGAAGGGGCACTCCAGGCATCCATATATGTTAAGTGCAGTGTGTGGTATAGATTACAGTCAGTTATGCTATTTTTACTCAGTCCTTTTTTTTTGTTAATAATAATTAGTTTTACTCTGTACGCCTACCCTTTCTGTCCCTCCCTTTCTCCAAACCTGCAGTGTTTTTCTTTATGGTTGCATAAATACCACAGTACATAATGTCATGCTTACTACTGGAGGAACATGACTACTGGACTACAACTCCCTGAAACCCTTGCACTGGCTATAAAGTAATACTTATGTTATCAACTCAACAATGCTGTCCTATTCTCATCTAAACATGTTGATGTTTAATTCCGACACTGGAAGCAAGCTCTTCTCTTAATGGTTCCTCTTTTTAAAAATAAATTAATAAACATTTATCTTGAAGTTCATTTAATTATATCATATAAGCAGCTGCAAACTGCAGCAGAAGATAGTTCCATACCGCACACCCAAACCTGAATTATACAGTGTGCTATCTTTAAAGAAACACGCTAACGTGAGAAACACCAACATTTGTTCCTAACGTTAGAGTGATGTATGGGCTATATTGATTAAATCTCTACCCCCATAAGTGATAAAATAAAGAGATTAACTCACCTAGTTCTTTATTTTCGTGCAGAGAAATACAGTATGGTCTGTGATGCCACGACAGCAGGGCAAATCGTGATGGTCATACTGTTATACAATGTCATGGTACATAAAAGCAATGCACATTTTTATATTTTAGTCTCGCTCTTACAACGTAGTTACATAGCTGCCCTGCACAGGGCTAGTGATATTAGTTATTAACAAGAGAAACTGTAAGCAGGGGGCGACAGGCTAGTAATTTTTTAAACAAGCTTAGTCTAAACGTTTACGTTCAATTGAGTGTTTCAGTATACGTGTGTAACGAGTGTGTTACAGGGTTGTAGCATGTGTTATACAGGTTAGGTACAAGCTGTGTAATAGCGACCTGCTCGGCTGCCCTATAATGTGGGCAAGTCTACAACACAGTTAGTATAGTCTGGTGTAGTATAATGGCGTTTATAACTTTATGGTGTGTGTTGTGGGGAAAGCATTTGAAGTGAGCCGTGGCAGTGTCACGAGTGTTACAAGCTAGGTTGCTTGCTTATGTAGATTAGCAAGTTTAAGCATGCAATCAGTAAGTATGCATTGTATAGCTTAAGACATATGGAGAGTCCTCTAGAAGTTTACCCCGGCTCGGTCTATGTGTGTGGTAGAGCCAGTCAGTCCCTGTGGATTCAGCTGATGCCTGCGCTGGAGGTTGCAGATATTGATGCACAGGATACCTCGTTGGTCTGGGTCAGCTGCAAGGTGGTTCCT